GCCACTCCCCCTGCTGTGTTCTCTTTCTTTCTCTCTCTCTCTCTTTAATAAATAAAATCTTTCTTTTAAAAAAAAAAGTTGCTATAAAAAACAGGACTGGGGCACCTGGGTGGCTCAGTGGGTTGGGCCTCTGCCTTTGGCTCGGGTCATGATCCCGGGGTCCTGGGATCGAGCCCCGCATCAGGCTCTCTGCTCAGCAGGGAGCCTGCTTCCCTTCCTCTCTCTTTGCCTGCCTCTCTGCCTGCTTGTGATCTCTCTCTGTCAAATAAATAAATAAAAATCTTAAAAAAAACAAACAGGACTTAATTACAATTGTGACCTATCTTTCAAAAACCTGATCTACAATCTTACAGGAAATTCTGAGTCATAAAAATGAGCCAGTTAATAAACAATTATTAACTAAGGAATCTATATTCCTTTTGCCTTATATTCTATTAACAGCAAAAAAATGAGATTTGCTGCCTGTCAGGATAAGAGAGTATTTGAAGGAAAGGTTGACTTTTTTTTTTTTTTTTTTAGGGAGAGGGAGAGAAGTGGGAGGGGGCAAAGGGAGAGGGAGAAAATCTTAAGCAGGCTCCATGCCTAGCTAAGAGCCCAACTGGAGCTCGATCCCAGAACCCTGAGATGATGGCCTGAGCCAAAATCAAGAGTTGGATACTTAACTGACTGAGCCACCCAGGTGCCCCCGAAATTTCACTTTTTAATGACACCATTAACATATACCAACAATGTCAGAAAATTCAATCCACTCCAACATGGCACCAAACCAAGACCAAAAAATCTGATAATATAAAGAGACATTTTCAGGTTGCATCCTTCAACATGTGCTAAATCCTTTAAATATTCCTCCTAATAGTTGCCTCAAAAGACTTCCAAAAGTTTGAGCAACTTTCATCTTCCTAACTTCCTCCTTCCCAAGGCTATTCAAACTACTTTGGGAGAAATAAAAATTTAAAAGTTTGTGCTGGGAAATTGAAAGGTTTTACTTTTCCAGAGCTTTAAGCCTCCTCTCATAACAGCTATAATACGGGTTCTGGATCTTGTTTGTTCAATTCTTATAGGGAACTTCTCTGATTATATCTTCCAACCATCTGTTGAATTTGTTTCTGCTACCCATGTTTAATATCTAAGAATACTTTTTTTAAAATGATTATTTCATATAGCATTGTTACTGTTTCATGGTACCCTCTCTAAAGATACTTTAGTTTTTTTTAACATTTTCTACACACTTGGTGTGTTTCTGCTTATTTTTTTCTGTTTGCTTTGCTCTTTTCTAGTCCCTGTCTGCAAATTTTATTTAAAATGAGACATTGAATGAGTTGATAATTTTTATGTGCAAAGGTGGGCCTAATTATCAGTGAACCTCATCATATGATGAGGGAATGGTCACCTATTTTTGTTGGGAATCCACCAGATCTATAGATATTTTTCTGGGATGTTTGATTCTCAAAAAAATAATCTTCCAAACCCCTACCTTAGGTGCCGAGTGCAAGTTGGGGAAAAAGGGACTGTAAGGCTGGCTACAGGATTTCTGGAGCTCAGGCAAAGAGGACTATACTTCACCATTCAATAAACATAGCTTGCATTGTCAGTACTGTAACTTCTCTGTACTTGATGTCTTGGACTCAAAGCCTCTCTTGTCCCCACCCCACCCCATTTTTTTTCAAGGAGAAAACCTATTTCCCATCATGTAGGGATAGCTGCCCCACTGGGTGGATTTATGGAGCTGGATTCTAATTGCACTACATAGAGATTTTCAGTCTACCCTTCTATGGTACCTGGTGGCTCTTAATTTCTGAGGATTTTCAGCCTCTCTAGGGACATCAGTGTGCACCTTTCCAGAATGTGACCTTCCTCCTCTCTGCTAAGTAATTTACTATTCCACCAAGCGCATTCAATCTTCATAAACTGTGGTTTGAGATTATGGTTATTTGCTGGTCTAATCAAAGGTTGTGGTTTTTGCTTGTTTCCCCTTACTTTGAGATGATTTTTCAAGAGGAAAGGGAGGCAGAACTATTTTTACTTTGCCTTCTTGAGATTAGAAGTTTCCTTTCTGTGACCCCATTCTTGATTTCCACCAACCCGGCCCTAATTGATCACTACTGAATTCTGCATTCCTTAGCCCTAGGCTCCCATTGTCTCCCACTGTCTCACGAGCACTCACCTAGATGATCTCAACTGAGATCTGGCCTTGCCTACCTTTCCACCTTCACACAGCGCCATGTCCATTCTCATTTAAGCTTCAGCCACCACTGGCATTATTTTAGGTCTTTGATCCCAGCAGAGTCCTTACACATGTTGGTCTTTGCATAGACAAGAAAGTCAGTGGCCACAAGGTGAAACTGGCTAATACAAGGGAATTGCTCAAAATAAGTATAGATAGTGAGAACCAAGTTTCTCACTATCAAAGGAGGAAGTTAGAAATACAGGAAGAAAATAAAAGAAATTCTGTGATCTTGGGATCAAACTGGAGGTTATCAGTATAAACTCATAGTTTCTAATACATATACAGAAATATACATTGATGTAAACGTATGTCTGTCTATAGTATATATTTCCTAGCAATGCCCACAAAAGGGCTTGGGAGAAAAGACCTCACAACAGCAATGAGAAAATTTGAAGCTCAGATCTTGGCCTCTAAGTACCATTGAAAGACCCAGGACTGCTGGGAGAAATGGCTGATTCTAGGACTAGATCAGGGAAAGTATAAAATTGAGCCTGGAGCATCTTTTGGGCCAAGGAGTAAAGAAGTGTTCAAAGAATTAATGGGGTGTGTCAAAAAACAAAGATTAGAGGTCTCTCACTGGCCAAACTGAGGATGATTTGAACCTCAAAATAATGACAGTAATAGATTATATAGCCCACTGAATAAAATTGGAAAATTGGAGGCCATAGTGATAGGAATAAATAAATGAAAGAACCAAAAAGCTTGGGGAGGAATGGCACATTTATACTTTCAAAGTATCTCCTTACAAAATCCTTATTAATAACGAAGACAAAAAGAGTCATTGTAGTAGCTCAGCAGACACCATCTTAACCGAGTGATCAAAGTAAACGCCTCAGGTAATGGGACAAACTGAAATTGTGCACAACCTGAGAGGTGCAATGTAAAGACCATGACATCATGTCTGCGATAATCCTGCCAAAGACGCTAAATCTGAATCCAATCACAAGAAAATAGCAGATAAATCTGCATTGAGGAACTTCTACAAAGTAACTAGCTGTAATCTCTAATAGTTTTAAGGTCTTGAAAGTCAAGGAAAGACTGAGGAAATGTTCCAGGATGAAGAAGACTAAAGAAATACAAGTAAGGCTAAATAAAGGGGGGAAAAAATTCGAATAAGACAGTAATTCTAACCGGATCTTTTTCTTTTAAAAACTTTGGGACATTTGGCAAAACATGAACAGAATCTAAGGATTAGATAGTAGTTATTCATCAATACTAACATCCTGATTTTGGTGATTGTACTGTGGTTATGTGGGAGAATGTCTTTATAGGAAATAAAGTATTTGGGTGATGGGGTATCAGGTCTGTAATACAGTCTCTTATACTGTATTTGTAAATCTTTACATTTCAAAATAAGTGAATTGATTTTTTTTTTTTTTTAAGTAAGCTCTACACCCAATGTGGGTCTTGAACTCACAACCCTGAGATCACGAATTGCATGGTCTACTGCCTGAGCCAGCCAGGGGCCCCACTTGATTTTTTTTTTTTTTTTTTTTTTTTTTTACTAAATAAACTAGGTTTAAATAAACTTGGGCATAGAGATTACTTAAAATAAAAACTTTAAACTACATTGTAGCAGTTATTCCCAGTGCTTTTGTAGCTTCCACTGTATTCAAAATCCAAAGATGCGAACAAGAACAATGGCCAATCATCTTAAAACACCAGGGATAAATCTATAATCCAACAAAGTCATATTTATTGCCTCCTGGCAACCAAGGAGACCGCGAACCAGAGGAATGGTAGGGGTGTCTCACCCTACGAAGGAAAAGACAACTGTAAGATTTGCGGGCTAGGTGGATTTTAGGTAAGATTTTATAAGCTCAAAGCAAAGCAGAGCTCTGTGTAAAGGCATCAACATCGGATCTGGACTGAGAAGTGGATGTGGGGTCATGTTTCCTTGGAAACTACAATTTTTTTTTTTTCTTTTTAAGATTTTATTTGTCAGAGAGAGCGAGCGCGCACAAGCAGCGGGAGCAAGCAGCAGGCAGAGCAAGCAGAGGGAGAAACAGGGTCCCTACCGAGCAAGGAGCTCAACCCCGGACTCACGCCAGCAGCCTGGGATCATGACCTGAGCAGAAGGCAGCCGGCAACCCACTGAGCCACCCAGGCCTCCCGGAAACTACAAAATTAAGAAAAATAGAAATGCTTTTTTCAGGAACGCCTTATCGGAAGGTGGGCACCTGTATAGAAATCGATGCTGCTTCTCTGTGTCCAAGTGTCTTAGTTCCTCCAGGCAAGAGTGGGATGTTTCATTCTTACTGATACAATTTCAAACAGCGGCGTGTACACGGACTTTAAAGAACTAGCTTTCTCAGAGTGTAAGAATGTAGTGTTTATCCAAAGATGGGGTTATGATACTTTTCAGTTGCAGTCTGTCCTTGAAGGAAACACTGTTTCCTGTTTACCTTTTAAGTGGCTTTATCGGTTATCCACCTGATGAATGGCTGCGCGGATTTTCACTTTCTCAACTGTACAAATGCAAATTACAACTCGGTCTCTAAAATCCTCCGTGGCTGTGCTGAAAATCTAAATTTCCTTAACCTGCTCTCCTCTTATTTCGGACCCTCAAGCTTTCCTTGCAGTCCGAGGCTCTGCACCACGTGCAAACGTGCCTCTCCCCCCACGTTAACCATTCAAGCTTTCCGCTCTCCCAAGCCCAACTCAGCGAGCGGGAGCCGCCCGCTCTTCTCAAATCCTATTGGGTAGAACCTACGCCTCTCATCCCGGGGCAGGACGAGAGAAGGGGGGAGGTGGGGACGCGAGAAGATGACGTCACGGTAGCAGGGAGGGACCTTCGGTTGCTTTGGGCTCTCCGTCCGCTGAGGGTGCTGACTGAAGACCGTTCCGTGGGCGACGCCGTCGCTATGACCATTTGTCAGTTCTTCCTTCAAGGCCGGTGCCGCTTTGGAGACCGGTGCTGGAACGAACATCCCGGCGCCGGGGGTGCGGGCGGAGGACGGCAGCAGCAGCCCTCAGGTGACGTGCCCCTCCTTCCTCCGCCGCCGGTGGAGCTGGGGAAGGCCTGGAGCCAGGGCCGTGGGGCTGAGAACGGGCGTCCGGCGTGGGGCCCGCCGCTCGGCATAGCGCAGCGGCGCACCAGTCAGGTGACGGTGACGTGCTCGCGTCGTCCCCCTTTCGGTCCCGCCCACAGGCCCGGCACAGGTTGTCTCCGGTGCTCCTCTCTGCTGTGTGGGGATTCGGCTGGTTGTAGTTGAGGGGATGAAGACGGGGACTTGGCCTTTGGTACGAATGCGAAACAATGAGTTTTTAGGTCGGAAGTACGTGTCAAAACTCTCCTGTCTGTGCGTGGTGATGGTCCGGAGAATTGGTGGAGGTCGACCCAGACGCCTCCTTGCTTTCCTACCCTTCTGCGTACTGGTTCTTTATTCTCCCTTAACACCCTAAATATAATTTTTACTGAACTTTTTTTTTCGAGAGAGGCTAGCAGCTGCGGTCACAGCCTGGATGCTTAACGTTGGGGAAGTCGCAAACTCCTTCGAACAATCTGATAGCTGCAATGCTCTCCCTTGGGCGAGTGTACGTGCTCGTAACGTTGGAGGTAGAACTGGAAAGGCGGGTTGCCCAGTAAAGAACTCTGAGGTGGGGGCGCCTGGGTGGCCCAGTGAGTTAAGCCTTCGGCTCAAGTCATGATCTCGGGATCCTGGGATCGAAACCCGCATCGGACTTTCTGCTCAGCAGGGAGCCTGCTTCCCTTCCTCTCTCTGCCTGCCTCTCTGCCTACTTGTGATCTCTGTCTGTCAAATAAATAAATAAAATCTTAAAAAAGAAGAAGAAGAAAAAGAACTCTGAGGTATGAGAGAAGGGGTGTGGAGGACCGCGTTGTCCTACTGGGTCTAAGTCATTGTCAAAGTTTTTGGAATATTTAAGCCAATTGTGGATGAGGTGAAAGGACAGCGTTCAAGGAGAGGAGGGATCAGAAATGAAACCACGCAAAGCAAGGTTTTAAAGGTCAGATGAATAGGTAGGTTTTTATTTTCTTAGGATTGAAACTTAGTCCTTAAAAGTATCACAAGATGCTGACCCCCTTCTGTTCCTTTCCTTCCCTTCCCTCTTTTAGGACTGTTCGTCTGATCTTTAATTTGTGTTGCATAGTGGTTTCACGTCTGATCACTCTCTTGAAGACAGGACTTTTGCATCACCCACAATTAGTCTTGTGAAATATTCCAAACCAAAAATTAGGACTGGGGGGTCTGATACTTGGGAACGTATTTCCTCGGAAAATGTTACTTAATATTTGACATTCTGTGGAGACTCACTATAGACGTAGTAATTAGAAAGCAAATATTTAATGGGTTGATGGATGAAGAAAATATTTAAAAAAAAAAAACCTCAACAAGTAAACAGTGTTTATCTCCCAGAAATGAATGCTTCTGTAATTAATAAATGAAGACCAAAAGCTATATACAAAAGAAAGAATGAACTTCTTCAGTTGTGTCATCCCCCAACGAATTTGGAACTTCAGAAAAATAAAATACCATTAACCCTTAAATGAGGGATCTGGCCCAGCAATCTGTTCCTTTTTCTCTTTGGTTTTATTAGGTAGTTTTAGAGTTGGGAGATGAATTTTCATGAAGGAATAGATCTCGCATCATTCCAGTTTTTAATACATTTCATGGCATATCTCTTAATTCAGTCAGAAACAAGGCAAATTATCTTAGTTCCAACTAGGAAGTGCTGAGTAAATGAGGTAGTTTAAGATTTTATTTATTTATTTGACACAGAGAGAGCACAAGCAGGGGGAGTGGCAGGCAGAGGAAGCCTGATGTGGGCTCAATCCCAGGACCCTGGGATCATGACCTGAGCCAAAGGCAGATGCTTAACCCACCTGAGCTGCCCAGGTGCCCAACAATTTTTTAAAATACAGAGACAAGGGAAGAGAGTCCTGTTGCCTCATTGTGATAATTATGAAATATTAGAATCTGCTGATAATAGAACTGAATGCATTTTATTCACATGTAAATTATAATCTCCCTGTGAAAGATTGGTGGGTAGATGTTATTTCCCCAGAGGGAAGACTGAGTCAAGTAGATTTAAGCATCTGTTCAAGGATAGAGGGTAGAATCTAATTTTTCATATTCAACAAACTCTTTAATACATTGCCCATTTTCTGATGTTACTGCTCTATAGGGCACTGTAAGAGAGCAAAGAATGATTAAGACAGCTTTTTATCCTGAAGGAGTTTATGATTTAGGATACATCCTAAATCTACTATCAAGCAATTATTTACTTAATAAGTTTATATCAGCTGAACTTACTAATATATCATTATTTTCCTCAGGGTTTGCACTTCCCTCAATCTTGTTAAACAAAAAATGCCATTAGACCATTACATGATTTGTTGGTTACAAGTAACTATATATAAGCCAAAAATGAAGAGTTTTCTGATTTAAAATGAGTGGCAGTGTGGTGCTTCTTGAATCTTTGTATAATGTCTGCACATAGTAAGAGAATATAATGAAATTTTTAGAGGTTTAAAAGAGGAATTGCCAATAAAATTGTTTTATTCTTTATTTTCAGGTAGTAACAGACGTGGATGGAATACCACCAGCCAAAGATACTCCAGCGTTATCCAGCCATCCAGCTTCTCCAAATCAACACCATGGGGGGGCAGCAGAGATCAAGAAAAGCCATCTTTCAGTTCCTTCAATTCTGGAGCTTCACCTAGCAGGAACAGAGGGTTTGGAGTGTCCCAGAACCCATTTGCTTCACCCAGCCCTGATGGGCAGAAAGATGAAAAGAAACTTCTGTAAGTGGAAGCCTTCGAGAAATTACTACCCATTTGCTTTTTTTTTTTTTTTTTTTTTTTCCAAAAGTACCTACAGTATTTTCTTTAAAAAAGAAGTGATATTGGGGCACTCTCTCTGCCTGCCTCTCTGCCTACTTGTGATCTCTGTCTGTCAAATAAATAAATAAAATCTTAAAAAAAAAAATGTAATACATCATTAAAAAATCAGAATAAGCAAAAAGAAGAAAAAGCACCCACAATCCTATCACGCAGAGATAACCACTATTTTGCATATGTCATAGTATACTTTATTACCCTTAAAAATATGTCACCTTTCCAGACCAGCACAATGACTTCTGAGAGCTAATTATGCTTTTTCCATTTTTCTATTGATAACACTATATTGTGAATATCTTTCTAAGGTAGTTTTGCTTGAGTTTGTTGTATATTATTAGTTCTTTACAAAGTATGAGGTAATTTAAAGCAGTTTGTACTCTTGGTGGTCACTTAAGGCATCTGGTATATTTTTCCTAAAACTTTTACTTTCACTACCCCCGTTGAAACTGGTTTCATTTGATTTCCTTTATTACTGTAGAGTAGATTCTCTATTATTTCCTGATCATAGTAGAATGTGACTCGTGCCAAAATAGTCCCTGGCATTCTGTAACTGTTGCCTCAGCTCCCAGGACAGAACTTAAATATATTCGTTAGTCTTTTATTTCTCATAATAAATTAGAATGAGTGGTAAATATTTTGATCCATATATCATATACAATTGATTTTTTTAAAAAAACGTAAAAGAGCAAACAAAGCCCGCTTTCCTGTATTTGATGTTGTAAAAATCCTGAATTTAGTACATTATCTCTGTGGTATCTATCATTTTATTAATTGTAACATTCTGGATGGGGGAGGGAAACATTTAATTTAGAGTTGAATCTACCCACCGCTTTGCCAATAAATTAACTATATGGGCGTGGATCTGTTGTCCCTTTTTGCAAAATACGAGAATTAGACAAAATGATCTCTAAAGTCCTACCCACTTTAAAAATTTTATGGTTCTATATTACGTGGTTCTTTCTTTTTTTTATTTAATTTTATTTTTTTTTCAGTGTTCCAAAATTCATTGTTTATGCACCACACACAGTGCTCCATGCAATACGTGGTTCTTTCTTTTCCCAGTTAAATGTTATTGATGTTTATGATAATGAATGAAGAAAGATTAAAATTAGTATTGTATATTTTAGTTCTTTAAAATATGTATAGTTTGATAGTTCTCATTTACCAAATTTATTGCTTAATGGTTCAATTTACTGGAAAACCAAAACCATGAACTTATTTAATGTTATAATACTTAAAATCATTAAATATAGTTGTTAGTTCATAAATTCTGCTCTAAAGAATAGTCTTCAGAAAATACAATGGAAAAAATCTAGGGGCACCTGGGTGGCTCAGTCAGTTAAGCATCTGACTCTTGATTTCAGCTCAGGTGGTGATCTCAGAGTCCTGAGATTGCGCCCTGTGTCAGGCTCCACCCTCAGCGGGGAATCTGCTTCTCCTTCTTCCTCGGCAGCCCCCTTTGCATGTGTACTCTCTCTTGCTCCCTCTAAAAATAAATAAAATCTTTTCTTTTTTAATCTGAAATTACATATTTACTACAATTTAAAAATCATTGAAAATTATAAACAATAAATTTTAATAAGCAGATGAAAAAGATCCTTTGCTCTTTTTTTTCCCCAGGGAAGGAATTATAAAAGATATGGAAATTTGGGAATCATCAGGGCAGTGGATGTTTTCTGTTTATTCACCAATGAAAAAGAAACCTAATATTTCAGGTAATTGAGAAATTGTATGTTTTTAAAATATGTTTTACAACTCTTATTTTCTAAAACCAAGATCGTGCCAAGTAAACTAACTACAAACTTAGCTACAGTTAAGAAAGTTTGGACATTGTTTCAAGTATTCCAGTATTCTGGCAGAACTTCGTAATTCAGAAATAAGGATTAGAAGATACAGTTCTGTTTTTTTGTTTTTTTTTTTAGAAGATACAGTTCATTTAAGATACATAGTTCACAGGCGCCTGGGTGGCTCAGTGGGTTAAGCCGCTGCCTTCGGCTCAGGTCATGATCTCATGGTCCTGGGATGAGTCCCGCATGGGGCTCTCTGCTCAGCAGGGAGCCTGCTTCTCTCTCTCTCTCTCTCTCTGTGCCTGCCTCTGTGTCTACTTGTGATCTCTCTCTGTCAAATAAATAAATAAAATCTTTAAAAAAAAAAAAAAAGATACATAGTTCACATGAGAAAATACTGAAATCAGTACCCACCACAATTCCAATTCTGTAAGCCCCCGAAAAATCTCTGCTTTCTTGTTTGCCTATGGGTACAACTTAAAATCTCTTAGCTTCCTGCAGTGACTAGAAGAGTCACATCTTACCTGCCATTAAGGCCGTGGCTGCCTGATGCTGTTCTCCCTTTCTTCCCTATATTTTCTTCTAAAGATAGCTATTTTTCATAAAGCATGTTGAGACCTGTCCTGGAGATGTGCGAAGGTAAAGAACTTCAGCTGGCTAGCATTTGTTTAGAATGCCCTTTTCCCTCTGTTTTCTCTGGTCTGTAGTCCCCTAAGCCCTTTCTGAGCTGAAACCTAGAACACCACACTTTTCTAATCCCACTTGGGTGGTCCTGGGCATCTGCCCTATGGAGTAAACAGCAAGTATCTAGCAGATGAGAGCCTTTGCAATCTCTCAGAACTCTAGGATCCCTGCTCTGTCTCAGCTCTACCTGTTCATTTCCCTATGAGCATTGGTATCACATCAGTCCTTAGTTATTTATTCACTCAGTCATTCAAGAAAATACTTACAGAATTTCTTTTGTGCCAGGCCCTATTCTTAGCTCTAAGGATAGAGTGATAAGCAAGACAGACAAGGTCCCTCCCTTAGAGAGCTTGTGTTTTTGAGGGAAGGAGACAATAAGTAATATAAATAAATAAGATAATTTCACTAGTTTAAAAAAAAAGATAATTTCACTAGTGTTTTCTTTTCTTTTCTTTAATTTTGGTAAGATTTATTTATCTATTCCAGAGAGAGAGAGAGAGGGTGCACAAGCCAAGGGAGGGGCAGAGGGAGAGAAAGCAAGAGGGGAGCAGACTCCCTGCTGAGTGGGGAACCCAACACCGGGCTTGATCCCACAACCTGTGAGATCAACACCTGAACTGAAACCAAGAGTCAGACACTTAACCAACTAAACCACCCAGTCTCCCCTAAAAAATAATATTTTTAGTATCTGAATATTCCATGTGATATTTGGGACATACTTATACTAAAAAAGTATTTGTTGTGTATCTGAAATTCAAATGTAACTGGGTATCCTGTATTATTATTTGCTAAGTCTGGCAACTCTATTCCTGAGAGCATTCTAAAGGCTCAAAATTCAATTTTCATAATAGTACTAAGACATTAATTGCCATTTTCACTCTGTTGACATTTGCACTATTGGTACAAAAACATTGATGGGTAAAACTTATATCTTAGTGTGAATCAAGGCAGAGGCAACTTACTGTACTAGGAGACTATAGAAGTCAATACAAAACCATTTTTTTTAAAGTTTGTTTACTTAAGTAATCTCTACAACCAGTATGGGGCTCAAATTCACAACCCTGGAAGGCAGCTATGCTCACCACTATACCACCAACACTCAAATTCACAACCCTGAATCAAGAGTCACATGCTCCTCTGACTGAGCCAGTCAGGCACCACTGTAAAAAAAAAAAAAAAAAAAAAAAAATTTATGCCATTTTTTCACTTAAAATTTCTGATAAAGAAGTAAAAATGTTGATTTTATTAATCTTGACCCTTGAGTGCACACCTTTTTAATCTGTGTGACAAAATGGGAAGCACACATAAGTGCTTCTGCCACATACTCAGATATGATAGTTGTCTTGAGGGAAAGCACTGAGGTTATCATTTGAGTTGTGAGCTCAACTAGCCACTTTTTTCACAGACAATATTTACTTGAAAGAATGACTGATAACTGTCGTTACCTAGACTTTGGTATTTGGCAACATTTTCTAAAAAAACTAATGAAGTAAGCCTATCACCTCAAAGAAAAAAAATGACTATTTTTTTAATCTTTTTTTTTTTAATTTTTAAAGATTTTATTTACTTATTTGACAGAGAGAGAGAGATCACAAGTAGGCAAAGAGGCAGAGAGAGAGGGGGAAGCAGGCTCCCTTCTGAGCAGAGAGCCTGATGTGGGGCTCGATCCCAGGACCATGAGATCATGACCTGAGCCGAAGGCAGAGGCTTAACCCACTGAGCCACCCAGGCGCCCCAATCTTTTTTTTTTTTTTTAAGATTTTTTATTTATTTATTTGTCAGAGAGAGCAGAAGCACAGAGAACAGTAGGCAGAACAGGCAGAGCAGGCAGAGGGAGAAGCAGGCTCCCTGCTGAGCAAGGAGCCCAATGTGGGACTCTATCCCAGGACTCTGGGGTCATGACCTGAGCCAAAGACAGACACTTAACCAACTGAGCCACCCAGGCGTACCAAAAAATGACTGTTTATTGCCAGTGACAAAATTCAGGCTTTCAAGTGAAAATTATGCATGGCTGAAAAATCCATTCTAAGCACAAGATAAACCACTGGATTTAATATAGTAGTACAAAAAGTTAATGAATATGGTTTGAATTTGCATTATAGCTAACCTTTAAGAAACTACAACCTCTCAAGTTTTGAGGTAGTGTCAAAGAGGAATGTCCACAATTACCTGAAAAAGCTATTTAAGTCCTCCATTTCCAACTACTTATCTGTATTAGAACAAACTTTCTTCATATACTTCAACTAGGCAATATATTGCAACAGATTGAATGTAGAAGCAGAATAATCCAGCAGTCTTCTATTAAAGTCAAACGTTAAAAAAATTTACAAACAGACCCTCCATCAGCAAAAAGCTGATGACTCACTGAAAGTTCTGAAGAGGCTTACCATTTTTTAGCAATAAAATATTTTAAAATTAAGGTATATTAAAAAATTGGCAAACATAAGACAATGCTGCTCATCTCACTAAATTTTTATTTTTTTGCTTTGAAAATTAGTCTTTTCATTTATGTTGATATGTAGTTGGTTCCTTTTTTTTAAAGATGTATTTACTTATTTGAGAGAGAGAGAGTGCATGCAGGGGGAGGGGCAGAGGAAGAGGGGGAGAGAGAGAGAATCTCAAGTCGACTCCAGACTCCAAGGTGAACATGGAGCCCAACGCAGGGCTCAGTCCCATGACCCTGAGATCGTGACCTGAGACGAAATGAAGAGTTGGATGCTCAACCAACGTACCACCAAGGCGCCCCTGGTTTCTTATTTTTATGTGATTTAATAAATATGTTCTGTATTTCTTATTTTTCATTTTAAATATGGTCAATATTGATATGTATAACCTATATAAGCAAAAGCTTTTGGGGTTTTTTTAGTGATTTTTAAGAATATATTTGGGTCATGAGACCAGGAAGGTGGGGAACTGCTGTCCTGGATTTTTTTTTTTAACATTTTATTTATTTGAGAGAGAGAGAGATCACAAGCAGGGGGGAGGGGTAGAGGGAGATGCATGAGTAGGGAGCCCGATGCAGGACTCCATTCCAGGACCCTAGGATCATGACCTGAGCTGAAAGCAGACATTTAACCTACTGAGACACCCAGGCACCCAACTGCTGTCCTTAGACATCAATTATAATGCATTAACTTTTCCTGTGCATCTAAAATAATACTATTTTTGTATCACCCTTGACAGAATTGAGAAAATACTCACATAATTTTCTGTGTCCTCTGGGGCTCAGAGGAGGAACAGCTGGAAGGAGGAAAAAGTGACTTGAGGGACAGCATTCCTTTAGCTAGAGTGTTTATCCATTCTTAGGAGACAGTATTGAAGATGAGTCCTAAGTGAAAAGAAGGTTGTCACTTAGGGAAATTTGGGGAAAACATTCTTGGCAATGGGAATAACTAGTGCATAGGCCCTTGCAGGAACAAGGTTGGCAAGTTTGAGGACTAGTGAGGCCTGAACCACTGGAGGAGAGTGAAGAAGGGAAAGAGTCATAGGACACAGGCCATGGAGTCAGCCTGTCATATTGGGCCTAATTTTTCTAGGTAGCCATGTGGAGCTTTAAGCGGGAGAAGGACATGATCTGATTAGAAAAAACTCACTTGGACTATTGTATGAAAAGAAATGGTATGTAGGGAGTGGTAGGGGGGTGGGAAGCAAAATAGAGGCAAGGAGATGAGTTAGGAGATAAATGCTTGTGACTGACTGAATTATAGTTACTAGCAGTGGAGACAGAATTGGTCAAATCCATGTTCTGTTTTGGAGTTAGAACTGGCAGGATCCTGATTAATTAGATGTGAGGAATGAAAAATGCAAGGGGATTCCTGGGTTTTTTGGCCTGAACAGTTAATAAAGATGGTATAAAGATAAATTGTTAGAAGAATCCAAGGTTTTGGGGGCGCCTGGATGGCTCAGTGGGTTAAGCCTCTGCCTTTGGCTCAGGTCATGGTCTCAGAATCTTGGGATCAAGCCCCACATGGGGCTCTCTGCTCAGCAGGGAGCCGGCTTCCCTCTCTTTCTCTCTGCCTGCTGCTCTGGTGACTTGTGATCTGTCAAATAAATAAAATCTTAAAAAAAAAAAAAAAAGAATCCAAGGTTCTAATTTGAACGTTTAGTCTTTTCTTTATTCTGGGGTATAGGGGTGTGTGGAGTTAATGATGTGTGGGATATGAGTAATTCTCTGTAGAAAACATCCTGAACTTTCTTAAAAAGTTTTCCTAATTATAAATTTATGGCTGTTGCCATAAAAGACTTGAAAAATACAAAAATATGTAAACAAAATAAAGATCACCTGATTTCATAGAGATAACTATAACATTTTTGAGTCTTTCTTTCAAAATATGCACATACAACCATATTTCCTGTGTATATATATAAATATATAAAATTAGGATCATAATCTAGTTTTGTATTCTACTTTGTTGTTTTCAGTTTGTCTCTACTACTAAAAATACTAGAATGAACATCTTCATACATAAAACTCTTTGTTTATATATCTAATTATTTCCTGAGGTTAAATCCTAGAAATTCTATTTAAGGACAGAAGGTGTAAACATATTTAAGACATTTGATGCTTATTTACAATTTTTCTCCCAGAAAAACACCTTAATTCCCTTAAAAGCAATTTAGGAGAATATCCATTTTACCACATTCTTAATAATAGTAAATACCATCCATTTTTAATTTTTTCCATTAAGTAAAGCATTTTGTTTCTATTTTTAGTTGTATTTTTAAATTCAACTCTTTTATTTTACTTATTTACTGGCTATTTGAATTTTTTTATGAGTTGGGTGTTTATTTGCCCATATTAACTTATTTTTCTTATTGGTTTGTAAGTACTATTTATACATTGACATTAGCTCTTCTCCAGTCATATATGTTACAGTCATGGTTTTCTCAGTTTACCATTTGCCTTTTAATTTTGCTTATAGTTTCTGGCATGCAGAATATTCTTTAGACAGAAGTTTGAATGTGTATGTGGTCAACCCTTTCTTTTCTTTGTTATTCCTTCCATTCCATTTATCTTTAGAAAATTTCTCCCTTTGAAAATCAGATATCCAATTGTATTCTATTTTAATTTTATACTTTGTTCAACATTAAAATATAGGCTTTGAAATTTTTCCTTATGATTGTAAAAATTTCCTTATGATCAACATCAACATATTTTCTTGTCTAGAACTTACAGCTTTACTATATTATTAAAAGTATTGGTATTTATTTTAAAGATTCCAATTGATTCCTCACTTCAGGTTTTACAGACATTTCACCAGAGGAGTTGAGGCTTGAATACTGTAACTTCTTAACCAGCAATAACTTACAGAGTTATGTAAGTTTGTTTCCTATTCATCTACTTTAATACCAGATTAGCTGTTAATTACTGTCTTCTCTGTTTGTAGTGGCTTGCTTATATATTGGCAAAGTGGATGAGGTCTAGAATCTTTCTCAAGACAAGGCTATTTATATTTTTTAAATTACTTTCTTCGAAATTGGTTGGTTATCTAACATGGTAATAATATATTTTGGCTATATAACTAGAATGTCACTATTTTTATTAGAAATAATAGCGGTTATTCCTAGAAGTCAGACCCTTTCATCATTTGACATTTATGGAGCATCTCTTAGGTGCAGACACCATGATCAATGCTAGAAAAACAAAGTGAAAAAAGACACCGTCTGTACATATTAACATTCTCATGTATCAGATGTCAAAAAATAAAGCTGGGCTTAAGTAAGTTTGGTACTAAAGGAAATGACATAAACTGTATTTTGTGTTGTCTACAGTCATGATCAAGCATTTCTACTAGTACCCATGTTTGACTCCCATCCATATGTAACTCTCTCTGTGCTGCCACATACTTGAGATTCTGAACCAGGGGACACCAGGAGTTGGAGAACAGGGAGGGAACTATAGCTGGAATGTCTTGGGCAAATTGTACAATTTTCCATAAAAATGTTTTATAAACTCTTTGTGATTTTGGCAAGTAAAGACACGAAGTTGTTAGAGAAAGTTAAAACACTCAAAATTGACTCATTATTTTTCTGTCTTCTCTCTTCAGCTAAATTCCCTCCAACAGTTAATAAATCAATGGAGAAATAGAATAAATGAACTGAAGAGCCTAAATACATCAACTAACATAGCCTTGGTGAGTATTGGAGAGTTTTCTACTGGAAATATCTGTTGCTTTTTTGCAGAGAATTTCACTTTGAATTTGGAAAGCAAAACTAAAATTCTCTGTCAGGAATTATGATACACACACATTCTCAAGACTGTATCATTATTTAAAGTCACAGTCCTGGAATTGCTTTCTCTCTGTTCCTTAGTCAGAAAAGCAGAGATAACTTTGCTTTCCTAAAACTATTTTTAGGGTAAATTTTTTTTACTTTGGTGGTCTAGTTTTGAAAACATTATATAAATTTCAGTATGTAACATTATCAGCATTTACAAAGAAATTGCTCTGAAAAATGATATGAATATACATTTAGACTAATGTATACTTTTGTGACTGAAAAACACTCACCATATGTTCCCTGACTTATATAGAAATGTCTTTAGTAGATACATACCCACTTGTCTCCAAAGATACATGGTCCCGACTGTAGCATATTCATTATCTCTATCACTAAAGTTATGATGTTTTATTCCCATAAAAACTCTTTAGGAACCTTATTTTGAAATAAGATATTTACAGTTTCCCAGCTGATTTATGCTTCTACTTTCTGAAAAGGATATGAGAGTTGTGGTTGTCTAACTTAATAAATGACTATGTGACCATTCTAGCACCCACCCCTTTCTTAAATATGTACTTCCTAAACAGATTTTTGGGTGAGTTCATTTCTTCACTGTTTAGTTGTTATGATGCCATTTAAATTTAGTAGGACATATTGGAAGTATTCTGTCCCTATGTGAGAGGTGGCCCAGCTCACCACTGCTAATGTAGAAGAGATAACGGAGTCCAAAGAACTGCAGAACTTCCCTTGGGATTAGAACTTCCTTGCCCTTTGTCAGCTCTCTAGGGGCCCCTCCAGAGGTGAGGAGGGTCCTGAACCGTCCACCCACAAGGGGCTTAGAATGTGTCAGTAGTTTATTCTTTATGCCAAGTAGTTAATTCTTTGTTCTTTTAATCCAGCATATGTATATGTATATGTTTATCTATTTACCTGTTGAATATTACACTGAAGGAGAGAAGCTAGACCAAAAAAGAAAAAAGAAAAAAAGTACATACTATGTGATTTCATTTATATGAAAAACTAAAGAAAACAAACTTCATCAGAGTACCTGGGTGGCTCAGTCAGTTAAGCATCTGACTCTTGATTTCAGCTCAGGTCATGATCTCAGGGCGATGAGATTGAGCCCCTTGTTGGGCTCTGCACTCAGTGCAGTGTCTGCTTCACATTCTCTCTCCTTCTCCCTCCTACTCACTCTCTCTCAAATAAATAAATTTTTAAAAATCTCTTTTTTTTTTTAAGATTTATTTGTTTGTTTGACAGAGACAGCAAGAGAGAGAACACAAGCTGGGGGAGTGAGAGAGGAAGAAGCAGGCTTCATGCCAAGCAGGGAACCCAATTCGGGGCTCGATCCCAGGACTATGGGATCATGACCTGAGCCGAAGGCAAACACTTAATGACTGAGCCACACAGGCGCCCCTTTATAAATCTTTAGAAAAGAGAAAACAAACCTTATGTATAGTGATAGGAAGGAGATGAGTGGTTCATGGTACCTAGGGTTTGGGAGAGGCTTGACTGAGAAGGAACACAAGGGATCTTTGAAGCGTGATGGAAATATTTTAAATCTTGATTGTCATGGCTATAAGTTTGTCAGAACTCACTGAAATATATGTATGTATGACAGATGCACTTTATTGCTTATAAACTACACTTCAGTGAAATTGATTTTTGAACAATGCTATTGAGGCTTCCAAATGAGAGAGATCATATCTATTTGAGTTGATCAGGAAAAGATTCTTGTGGGTAAGGAGTAAGGGAAAGTTCCTCAAAAGGGAGATTAAAGGGTCACCTGGGTGGCTCAGTCAGTTGGGCATCTCCTTTGGCTCAGGTCATGATCTCAGGGTCCTGGGATCAAGTCCCACATCGGGCTCCCTCTCCCTTTACCGCTCACCCCCTGCTCATGCTTTCTCTCTCAAATAAATAAATTAAATATTTTTTTTTAAAAAGGGAGATTAAGATTTCATTCTGCACAGATGAAAAACATTTCTAGTGTAGAAAATAGCAAGAACAAAAAGTATTCTCAGGGATAGGAAATATTTACTAGAGTTCAATAATAAGCTTTTAATGTAATTGTGAATCAGCTTGAGGTCAAGTATTAGAGTAAGCAGATTGGGTAGCCTCTAAAGGCCCTTTATATGAAATCTAGGTTTCTTGATAATTAACCTATAGACACTGAAAAATATTATTATAATTTTTTTTCATTTTCAAACATATTCATTGAAGAAATTTAGAAAATATTTTAGAAGCTTAAATTAAAATTAAAATCACCCATAATTCATCAGCCAGTTGCTCTTACCTCATTGAGATTGGTCTGTCTTCTTCTGTGCATATTCATATTGTGGGCATTTTTCTATGTTAAACATATATTTTTTTAAACATATTTTTTAAGTGTACATTTTAAAAATTGAATTTGCCTATAAAGTGTATGGGAAAGATAACTCAGAATTATTCATTAATTACTTTATTATTTGCCTCCTTTTTTTTTTTTTTAAAGCTCTCAGATGTAAAGGATGGAATAAATCAACCAGCATCTGCATTTGGATTTGGCAGTACAAATGCAGTAACATTTGGATCACCAGGTAAATGATAAAGTAATGCAAGACTTCATTAATTTTAGAAATGTGGGATTTTAGAGGTTTTAGATCATAAAGTCTGAAGGTATGTTAAATGGATTTTAATTTTTTTTAATTTTTAAAATATTTTTATTTTTAATTTTTTAAAATTTAGATTCATTTAATTAACATATAGTGTAGGGGCACCTGAGTGGCTCGGTGGGTTGAGGCCTCTGTCTTCAGCTTGGGTCATGATCCCAGGGTCCTGAGATTGAGCCCAGGGTCCTGGGATCGAGCCCCGCTTTGGACTCTCTGCTCTGCGGGGGACCTGCTTCCCCATCTCTGTCTCTGCCTGTCTCTCTGCCTACTTGTGATCTGTCAAGTGAATGAATAAAATCTTTAAAAAAAAAAAACAAACAAACAAACATATAGTGTATTATTAGTTTCAGAGGTAGAGTTCAGTGATTCATCAGTCTTATATAACATCCAATGCCCATTGAATCACATGCCCTCCTTAATGTCCATCACCCAGTTACCCCATCCCCCAACACCCTCCCCTCCAGGAACCCTCAGTTGAATGTATAGATTGTTCCAGGTAGCATAGACATTTTAACAGTATTTGTTCTTTCAATCTATTAATTCTTTCAATCAATCAATGTTTTCCCATTTCCTTTTGTCTTCCTCAATTTCATGATTGTTCTATAGTTTTCTGAATACAGATCCTTTGCCTCTTATTCCTAGGTATCTTAGAGTTTTGGGGACAATTGTGAATGGGATCAACTCCTTAATTTCTCTTTCTTGTGTCTCATTCTTAGTGTATAGAAATACAGCTGATTTCTGTGCATTGATTTTATATCCTACCACTTTACTGAATTCCTGTATGAGTTATAGCAATTTGGTGGTGGAGGCTTTTGGGTTTTCCACATAGAGTATCATGTCATCTGCAAAGCATGAGAGTTTGACTTCTTCTGTGCCAATTCAGATGCCTTTTATTTCTTTTTGTTGTCTGATTGCTGGGGCTAGGACTTCTAGTACTATGTTGAACAGCAGTGGTGAGAGTGGACAGCCCTTTCATGTTCCTGACCTTAGGGGAAAAGCTCTCAGTTTTTCCCAATTGAGAATGATATTCACTGTGGGCTTTCCTTTTATAAGATATGGCTTATATGATACTGAGGTGTGTTCCGTCTATCCCTACACTGTGAAGAGCTTTAATCAAGAAAGGATGCTGTACTTACCAGATGCTTTTTCTGCATCTGTTGAGAGGATCATATGGTTCTTGTTCTTTCTTTTATTAATTTAGTGTATTACATTGATTGATTTGCAGATGTTGAACCACCCTGGCAGCCCAGGAATAAAACCACTTGGTCATGGTGGATAATCCTTTTAATGTACTGATTGATCCTATTGGCTATTATGTTGGTGAGAATTTTTGCATTGATGTTCATCAGGGATATTGGTCTGTAATTCTCCTTTTTGGTGGAGTCAAGGTAATGCCGGCCTCATAGAAAGAGTTTGGAAGTTTTCCTTCCATTTCTACTTTTTGAAACAGCTTTGGAAGAATAGGTATTCATTATTCTTTAAATGTTTGATAGAATTCCCCTGGGAAGCCATCCAGCCCTGGACTCTTGTTTATTGGGAGATTTTTGGTGACTGCTTCAAATTCCTTGTTGGTTATGGGTCTGTTCAGGTTTTCTATTTCTTCCTGTTTCAGTTTTGGTAGTTCATGTGTCTCTAGGAATGCATCCATGTCTTCCAGATTGCCTACTTTGTTGGCCTATAGTTGCTCATAATACATTCTTATAATTGTATTTCTTTGGTGTTGGTTGTGATCTCTCCACTTTCATTCATGATTTTATTTATTCAGGTCCTTTCTCTTTTTCTTTTTGGAAAATCTGGCCAGGGGTTTATCAATCTTATTAATTCTCTCAAAGAACCAGCTCATAGGGAGTGTCTGGGTGGCTCAGTCCTTAAGTGTCTGCCTTCGGCTCAGGTCATGATCCCAGCATCCTGGGATCGAGCCCCGCGTCGGGCTCCCTGTTCAGCGGGAAGCCTGCTTCTCCCTCTCCCACTCCCCCTGCTTGTGTTCCCTCTGTCGCTGTGTGTCTGTCTGTCAAATAAATGAGTAAAACCTTAAAAAAAAAAAAGAACCAGCACATAGTTTCATTGATCTGGTATACTGTTCTTTTAGTTTCTATTTCATTGATTTCTGCTCTAATCTTTATTGATTCTCTTCTCCTGCTGGGTTTAGGCTTTACTTGCTGTTTTTTCCTCCAGCTAGTTTAGGTGTAAGGTTAGGTTCTCTATTTGGGATCTTTCTTGTTTCTTGAAAAAGGCCTATATTACTATATATTTTAGGACTGCCTTTGCTGCATCCCAAAACTTTTGAACCATTGTGTTTTCCTTTTCATTTGTTTCCGTGAATTTTTTAAATTCTTCTTTAGTTTCCTAGTTGACCCATTCATTCTTTAGTAAGATGGTCTTTAGCTTCCATGTATTTGAGTTCTTTCCAGCTTTCCTCTTGTGGTTGAGCTCCAGTTTCAAAGCACTATGGTCTGAAAATATGCAGGGAATGATCCCAGTCTTTTGGTACCAGTTGAGACCTGATTTGTGACCCAGGATATGATCTATTCTGGAGAATGTTCCATGTGCACTAGAGAAGAATATGTATTCTGTTGCTTTGGGATGGAATGTTCTGAATATATCTGTAGTCCATCTAGTCTGGTGTGTCAATTAAAGCCCTTATTTCCTTGTTAATCTTCTGCTTAGACTATCTGTCCATTGCAGTGAGTGGGGTGTTAAAGTCCCCTACTATTATTGTATTGTTATCAAGGTGTTTCTTTAATTTTGTTATTAATTGGTTTATCCATAAATAGCTGCTCCAATGGTAAGGGTGTAAATAGTTGCAATTATTAGGTTTCTTGTTGGATAGACCTTTTAATTATGTTATAATGTCCTTCCTTATCTCTTATTTCAGTCTTTGGTTTAAAATATAATTTGTCTTTTGATGTCCATTAGCATGATAAATGGCTTTCCACCCACTCCCTTTCAATCTGAAGGTGTCCTTGGGCTTAAATTAATCTCTTGCAGACAGTGTATGGATGTGTCTTGCTTTTTTTTTTTTTTAAAGATTTTATTTATTGGGGCACCTGGGTGGCTCAGTGGGTTAAAGCCTCTGCCTTCAGCTCAGGTCATGATCCCAGGGTCCTAGGATTGAGCCCCACATCAGGCTCTCTGCTCTGCAGGGAGCCTGCTTCCCTTCTTCTCTCTCTGCCTGCCTCTCTGCCTACTTGTGATCTCTGTCTGTCAAATAAGTAAATAAAATCTTTAAAAAAAAAAAAACTTTTAAAGATTTTATTTATTTATTTGTCAGGGAGAGAGAGTATGCACAAGCCAGGCAGAGTGGCAGGCAGAGGCGGAGAGAGAAGCAGCCTCCCTGCTGAGCAAGGAGCCTGATGCGGGACTCTATCCCAGGATGCTGGGATCATGACCTGAACTGAAGGCAGCAGTTTAACCGACTGAGCCACCCAGGCGTCCCATGTCTTGCTTTTTTAACCAATCTGATACCGTGTCCTTTGCGGCATTTAGCCCATTTACATTAAGAGTAACTATTGAAAGATGGATTTAGTGCCATTGTATTACCTATAAAGTCAGTTTCTGTATATTGTCTCTGCTCCTTTCTGGTCTTTGTTACTTTTGGGCTTTCTCGTCACTTAAAGTATCCCCTTTAATATTTCTTCCAGGGCTGGTTAAGTGATCACAAATTCTTCTAGTTTCTGTTTGTTCTGGAAGCTCTTTTCTCTTCTCTTCTGAATGACAGCTTTATTGGATAAAGTATTCTTGGCTGCATATTTTTCTTATTTAGCACCCAGAATATATCATGCCAATCCTTTCTGGCCTCCAGGTCTCTGTGGATATATCTGCTGCCACTCAAATGTTTCTACCCTCCCAGGTTAAGGACCTCTTGTCCTGAGTTGCTTTCAGGATTTTCTCTTTGTCTCTGAAATTTGCAAGCTTCACTATTATAAGTTGAAACGTTGACTTATTTTTATTGATATTGAGAGGGGTTCTCTGTGCCTCCTGGACTTGAATGCCTGTTTCCCTCTCCAGGTTAGGGAGGTTCTCAGCTATAATTTGCTCAAATATACCTTCTTCCCCTCTCTCTCTTTACTCTTTCTGGGATCCCAATTATTCTAATATAGTTTCACTTTTGGTATCACTTATCTCTCGAATTCTCACCTTGTGATCCAGTGGTTGTTTATATCTCTTTTTCTCAGCTTTTTTATTCTCCATCATTTTGTCATCTGTATCACTAATTTTCTCTTCTGCCTCATTTATCCTATTATTAGAGTATCCATTTTTAAATTTTAGCCATAAATAGCCTTTTTTATTTCAACTTAATTAGATTTTAGTTCTTTTATTTCTCCAGAAAGGGACTTTCTGGTGTCAGCTATGCTTTTTTCAAGCCCAACAGTATCTTTACAATTGTTATTCTGAACTCTAGTTCTGACATCTTACTTATATCCACTGATTAGGTCTCTGGCAGTCAGTACTGCCTCTTGTTTTCTTTTTTGAAGTCAGTTTTTCTGTCTTGTCATTCTGTCCATAGAAGAATAAATGAATGAGAAAACAAAATACTAAAATAGAAACAATGACCTCAGAGAAATATACAGTAAACAAATCAGAAGAGACCTGAAACCAAAAAGAAAATTAAAAAGAGAGAGAGAGAGAGAATATAATCAGACATATGAACAGAGCAGAGCAATGCAAGAGATTCTGGGTATATTTTGGTCTGTTTGTTAGAAAACTAGATCCCAAAATTATAAAGAGAAACTTATGTATATACAAAAATCAAATTAAATACAATGAAAGGATAGAATATAACCATAAAAATGAAAATTAAAAAATACTTAAAAGAGTTGATAAGGGTAGTCTAGGTTCACCTAAGGGATGCCTGGGTGGCTCAGTTGGTTAAGCCGCTGCCTTCGAGTTAGGTCATGATCCCAGAATCCTGGGATCGAGTTCCGCATCAGGCTTCTTGCTCTGTAGGGAGCCTGCTTCTCTCTCTGCCTCTGCCTGCCACTCTGCCTGCTTGAGTGCGCGCGCTCTCTCTCTCTCTGACAAATAAATACATAAATAAAATCTTAAAAAAAAAAAAAAGCAGGATGTATGACATCCTTGTCTTAAAAAAGAGTTGATAAAATAAGAAATTGCTTGAAAAGGAAAAAGAAAAAAAGTTCAAATTGAAAGACTGTAAGATGCCTGGGTGGCTCAGTTAAGTGTCTGCCTTTGGCTCTGGTCATGATCCCAGGGTCTTGGGATCAAGCCCCACATCAGGCTCCCTGCTCAGCAGGGAGCCTGCTTCTCTCTCACCGTCTGCCTTCCCCTCCCCCTGCTTGTGCTTTCTCTCTCTCTCAAATAAATAAAGTCTTAAAAAAAAAAAAAGTAAGACTGAGGAATCATTAGAAAATACCATGAATTCTATGTACTGTTTTTCCCTAGCACTGAAGTTTTGTAGTTCTCTGTGATTGGTAAACTTGATCTTAGCTGGATGTTGTTGATGATCTTCTGGGAAAGGGGCCTGTTGCACTGATTCTCAGGTATCTTTGTCCCAGGGAGAATTGCACTGCCTTTGCCAGGGGGGGCGCACTAAGTGTAAGCACTCCAGATTGCTCTTTGTGGCTTTTGTTCCCTGAAGGCTTTCCGTGCTGTGTTAGGGGATAAGAATGAAAATGGCAGCCTCCCAGTCTCTAACCCTAGAGCTGAAAGCTCATACCCTCCACTCCTCAGTTCGCCCTCAGGGAAAAGCTATCTTCCTGGTCTCCTTTAGCATTCTGTGCTCACCCAGCCTATGACCAAGTGTTTGTATCTCAGGCATGCAACTCTGTTTCAAGTCTCCAAAGCCTACAGACTCCTGCAGCTCATACCCATACCCCTCCTCCCCACTGGCAAAGAGCGGGGTGTCTCACCACAGTTTTGCCACTCACTGGGCCCCTGCTCAGAGAACAGTTGCCCAGCCATGCCACAATTTGCGGTTTATGGCAACACGGAGCAGAAAGCCCACTCCTGAGCTTGCCATTTGTAGCTGGCTTTGCCACTCTGATGCTTGGGAACTCTGCCACATTAAGGCACCCCAGGTCTTCCTTTGCACTCTGGGGTCCTGAGATCACACTCTACCCCATAGGATTCTGCCCTGCTTCACCACCTGATCTCCTTTCAGGCAGGCATTTCCCTCACCTGGACAGATGGACTTCTAAAAGTTCCCATTTTGTGCTCCGTTGCTCTATCACTTTCTGGTAGCCAGCTTGCAAATCGTACCCCGCCCCCCGCCATTTATCTTCTGATACATCACCTTGGATTCACCTCTCTGCATCTCCTACCTTGCAGAAAGTGGTCACTTTTCTGTTTGTAGAATTGCAGCAATTTTTTCCTTAGATCTCCAGTTGAGTTCACAGGTGTTCAGAATGATTTTTTTAGCTATCTAGCTGAATTCCACGGACTAGAGAAAACGGTCTCCTACGTCTACACCATCTTCCTCCCTCTCTTTAAGTGATTTTTAAATCATCCTTGCAGATTCTACTACCTTCTATAATGGAGCTTCAGAGAATTTGGCTCATTAATCATTTGTGAAATAGGGGTCAGACTGGGCACATTTTTTGAAAGACCCTGTGGCTCAGGCTTTCAGAGTATATTTTAGCAATGGTTTTTCAAAAGTTTTATCAGAGTACATAGTGGCTATGGTAGCAGCACATTGAGGACCTTCTTTTCACAGTGCATAACAGTATAATATTGTCTCGAGTGACAATACTTATCACTTTTTTTTTAATTTAAAAGAAAAATTGTTTTAAGTTAGTATACAGAGGTAAACAGCAGTTCTTAGAGACAAAAAGGCAGATTAGGACTGAGGAGTTTGAACTGTCATAAAAAGTATAAAAATAAAAATGGCAACTCTGGAAAATTTTTAGCCAAAAACTAGAGATGTTAATTATTAGAGTACAATTTCATCAGATTTGTCTTAGTTGAGAGCTGGAAGGTGCTTGAGAATCACTCCATTTATACAGGAGGAAACTGAGATGAAGTGACCACTCTATTTAAAAGAATATAGCTAAGGAAAGAGTTACTTCTTTGATAATGGATGTGGCTGATTTATCTGAGGTTGAAACAGAAAGTGAAAGTCCACCTCCTCATCCCAGAGCTTTCTCAAAGCTGTACCCATGAGTGAGGACGATCAAATGAGGTCAGGTATAGCAGAGAGATAGGACAACAGGATTTAGTGGGTTTGTTCTAGCTTCTTCTTTTCACTTCTCCTTCCATCCAATATGCTTCTCACATTCAAACATGGTAGAAATAAGAGAAAAGGGAGGGGTGGTTAATGTAGTTACATTCTTTACTATAATAAGTTATTTTTTCCTTTTTCTGATTTTTATAGGTTTTCCAGTGAATAACAGCAGCAGTGCTAATGCTCAGAATTTTAGTTTTAAACCAAGCTCTGCCCCTTCTGGAAGTCCTCCTATGTTTGGGAATACTCCAGCATTTGGAGCTGCATCCTCTGCCAGTTCTGCCGTCACTACTTCTGTTCCAGCATTTGGATTTGGGAAACCTGCAGTCACATCTGCTGCTTCATTTTCTTTTAAAAGTCCTGCAGCCACTGGTTTTGGATCACCTGGATTTTCAGGATTTCCAGCTTCCATGGCAGCAGGCTCTTTTGGAGCTCCAGGGGCCCCAGCCTTTGGAAGTGGTACTTCTGTGGCTGGTTTTGGTAGTCTAGGTTCACATTCCCACACTGCTTTTTCCAAGTCATCTAGCAACACCTTTGGAAACAATAGCATAACTACCTCTCTCCCAGTCTCAAATGGCAGCACCACAACAGATAACAAATTATTCACACCCAAGGATCAACTCACAGCAGAAGAACTGGAGCATTTTCAATCTAAGAAATTTACTCTAGGAAAAATTCCTTTAAAGCCACCACCTACGGAACTTCTAAATATTTGAAAGGACAATTTTAAATACAGAAAAGAACAGCTCTTAAAATTGTTCTGAGTGGTTTGTATAAAATTGCTTTGAGTGATTTAAATATATACATATATATGTATATATGTACATATATACTTAAAAGGAATATAAGCTTTCATTAATAACTTTAGGGGTCTTGAAATTCAATATTTTTTCTAAGTAAAGCATAAAAAGTACTCTGCAAGAGGTTTTTTAAAAATTCAATTATGAATGGAATCAAAAAAAACTGTCAGTGTGCACTGAATAAAGTGCTTTTCTCATTCTATATCACTTTACTGTCTTACCATTTAAAGGTTTACCTTTAGACATATATATACATATGTCTAATATATATAACATATATATATATATACATATATATATATATATTTGTTTATTTTTTAGAAAGGAGATCATTTCTAAAGCCATGAGGGGAAAAAATGCTTAAATATTTAGCTTGCTTATCAAATAAACATCAGTAGCATGACTATCCTTCATGTTGAAGAAAATTCTCTTAGAGAAATAATAGTTTTTAAACTTCTTTTTATTATTCAGACTAACAAGGCATTTTCCCCTCATAATTTTGTTCCCCCTCCAATTTTGACTCTCTTATCGACCACCATTTGAGTTTTCTTCAACAATTTTAGACTGATTTTTATCAGGGCCTAACTTCTGTATAATTCTGTTTATTCCTCACATTATCCCCTCAAGTTGGCAGGTTGTAAGAGGGATGGAAATTGTGGTCTCATGTGAATAAATAGTGTATGTGGTAGGGTCAGGATTCACCAGCTCTGGTGAGTTTCTGTTAGAATTCTCAGACATGTTTTGATCTTCCTGTGCCCTCTCCCTGTGCCTCTATATCTGTGTAAGATATACAAGAGTGATGTCTTGTATATCTTACATATAGTTGATCCAAGCCAAAGACTTGTCATGAGTTGAGGCTTATGTGTCAGAGTTCTGTTTTCCTCTCTCAAGCCTCCATAATGACATAGCTCGCACAACAGAACAGCTACCTGACATAGATCTGGGATTGAGCTGATTTTTTTTTTAAAGATTTTATTTATTTATTTGACAGAGAGAGATCACAAGTAGACAGAGAGGCAGGCAGAGAGAGAAAGAGGGAAGCAGGCTCCCTGCTGAGCAGAGAACCCGATGCGGGACTCGATCCCAGGACCCTGAGATCATGACCTGAGCCGAAGGCAGCGGCTTAACCCACTGAGCCACCCAGGCGCCCTTGAGCTGATTTTTTAATGTGAAAATAGAACATTACCTAATAAAACATACACCCCAAATGATTTTAGAGTTTATGCAAAGAACTCAGTCCTCAGAAGATCCAGATTCTATTGTTATTTCTTTCAAAGAATTGTATGATTCCCAGCTAACACTTCTGGAAGCCCAAAATTTGGGATCGAATCTGTAGCCAAGGGGTATATGTTTGAAACCATCCTTGGTGTGGAAAGAGTAAAAAGATCCTAAGTTCCTGCTTTGGTCTCAAGCTCTGAAGACTTTACAGTGTTTCTTCACTCCTAGGATTTTTCTACGTGATGGAATAAACCCTATGCTACCAGGCTTACTATTCTCCTGTGGGTCCCAGTTGAACTTCCCAGTGTCCTAGAGGTTGAGGGTGCAAATTAAGGATGTAGTGTTTCTAAATTTGCCTGGCTACAAGTACTACATGAGTATTGGCTAAATTGCATATCCAGAATAATATATCCACTAGGCTAGACCTGGGGATGTGTTTTTTACAAAGTGTTTCATGAGATTGTATAAGTAAGTTTGGGAAAAAGGAGCCTATCTAGCTGCATTTAGGCTTCTTAGTAATATGTGACTTGGGAGTTTTGTTGTAATTGTTGAAGTGTATTTTATGTGCTTGCGCATGTGCACACAGACACACACACACAGTGTGGTGAACTTAGATCCAAGGTGGTTAAGTAGTACAGTTGTCAAAAAGCACAAGTGCGTGCTATGGGTTACCTAAAAGTCTGAGAAACTAAAGCGAAGGAGTTAAGTAGAAACCAGCAGTACGCAAGCATACCAGTATCAGGAGTCCAAGAAGGCCTGAGCTCCTAGACCTAGCTAAGGGGCAGCAAGACTTCAGAAAATCAGAAACCGGTACCAATGAGGTGGTGCCCAGGTAGACTGAGTTTCAAGACCCTGGAAGGGAGTGGATGCAGGGGGGGGGGAAGCAACCACAAGAGTATGTGCCACCATCTGGATTTATTCATTGAGGTCAGAACCAATTCTGGGAGAGCTGGTCTAACTGGAAAGTATACCCCCAAATAAGCAAAAACCACTTCCCTTAGCAGCTGCTGCAACAGCGCTTTACCTAGAATGGGAGCAAATGGCAGAATTGCAAACAAGGTTTTATTACAAGTAAATTGATTTAGCTAACTTGGTTATCTCATCACAGATTAGAAAGGGAGGAGTGTAACAGCTGAGAGCCAATTAGAAGAGGAGAGAGAAAACAGCTGATATTAACACTATTTGAAAAGCATAACCTGAGTTAGCCACACAGTATTATTCACAGGGATAAAATCTAGTGTCCAGCCACAGGAAATCCGTGAACTATGATAGATTGATATATTGGAATACTGGACAACATTTCTAAATGACCTAAAAGAATAGAGAGTAACTTGGAAAGGCTTTTATTCTGTAGTCAATGGGCAAAAGCTTGTTATAAAATCATATGTACAAATGTGGCCCAATTTGGGAGGAAAGTCTATATTCATAGGGAAAGGAAAGCCTAAAAGTTAATAATAGATCAAATTTTTTACTGTAAAAAAAAACCCTACATAACATTAAATTTACCATCTTAATTATTTTTAATTGTATAGTAGTGTTAAGTAGTGTGTACAACAGTCACATTGTTGTGTAACAGATCTCTGGAACTACTTCATCTTGCTACACTGAAACTACTCCATTGTTTATATGAACCACATTTTCTTTCTTTCTTTCTTTTTTTTTAAGATTGTATTTATTCATTTGACAGAGAGAAAGAGACAGAAAGCCTGCACAAGCAGGGGGAGAGAGAGAGGGAGAAGCAGGCTCCCCACCGATCAGGGAGTCTGATGCAGAGCTTGATCCCAGAACCCTAGGATCATGACCTGAGTCAAAAGCAGTCGCTTAACTAAATGAGCCACCCAGGCACCCCTGAACCACATTTTCTTTATCCATTCATCCGTTGGTGGAATTTGGGTTGCTTGCACTTCTCGTCTACTGTAAATAATGCTGCAGTGAACATGGTGTACAAATATCTCATTGAGATACTGCTTTGAGTTATTTTGGATATATACCTAGAAGTAGGTTTACTGAGTCAACGGCAACTCTTAACGTTTAGTATGTAACCTACATGCCACTTTGCAGAGCAGCTGCATTATTTTACCTTCCCATCAACAGGGTTCCGATTTCTCTGTGTCCTCCCCAACACATATTTTCTTGTTTTCATAGTAACCATCCTAATGGATGTGAGGTGATAGCTCATTGATTTGATTTGCATTTCTCTTATAGTTAGTAAGGTTAAACATCTTTTCAATTGCTTGTTGGCCATTTGTATATTTTCCTTGGCGAACAGTCTATTTAAGTCCTTTACCTATTTTTTTTTTTTTTAAGATTTATTTAGGGTCACTTGGGTGGCTCAGTCAGTTAAGCATTTGCTTTTGGGCCTTTGGCTCAGGTCATGATCCCCGGCCCTGGGATGAGCCCCACATCAGGCTCCCTGCTCAGTGGAGGCTCTGCTTGTCCCTCTCCCTCTGCCTCTCCCCAGCTTGTGTCTCTCTTAGTCTTCTCAAATAAAACTAAATAAAAATCTTATTTTAAAAAAATAGAAGATTGGGACGCCTGGGTGGCTCAGTGGGTTAAAGCCTCTGCCTTTGGCTCAGGTCATGATCCCAGAGTCCTGGGATTGAGCCCTACATCTGGCTTTCTGCTCAGTGGGGAGCCTGCTTCCCACTCTCTCTCTGCCTTCCTCTCTGCCTACTTGTGATCTCTGTCTGTCAAATAAATGAATACAATCTTTAAAAATAAATAAATAAATAAATAAAAGATTATTTATTTCTTTGAGAAAGAGAGCACAAGCTGGGGGAGAGGGAGGGAGAATCCACAAGCTGAGCGTGAAGGCTGACACACTCTATCAGAGCGGGGCTCTATCCCAGGACCCTGAGATCATGACCTGAGCCAAAACCAAGAATCGACTGCTTAACTGACTGAGCCACCTAGGTGCCCCTTTGCCTAATTTTTAATCCAGTTATTTGTTTTCTTGTTGAGTCATAGAAATTCTCTGTGTAGTCTGGATATTAACTCTTTATCAGATATATGATTTGCAAATATTTTCTCTTATTTGCCTTACTGCCTCTTCATTCTGATTGTTTCCTTTGACATATAGAAGTTATTAGGTTTGAAAAAAAAGTTAATAGGTTTGTTGTCCCTTTTGTCTATTTTTGTTTCTGTTGACTGTACTTTTGGTATCATACTCAAGAAATCATTGCCAACTCCAGTGTCTTGCTTTTTTCCTGTTGTCTTCTAGGATTATATAGCTTTAGGTCTTAGATTTAGGTCTTTAACCCATTTTAATTTATGGTGTAAGGTAAGAGTCCAACTTTGTTTTTTTTTTACATGTGGATATCCAGGTAACCCAATAGTATTTGTTGAAGAGACTGTCCTTTATCCATTTTCTAGTCTTGGCACCTTTGCCAAAAATTATTAGGGTATATATGCACGGGTTTGTTTCTGGGTTCTATTCTGTTCTGTTGGTCTATACATCTACCTTTATATCAGTACCACGCTATCTTAATTAGTGTCTCATTGTATTATGTTTTGAAATCAGGAATTTTGAGGCTGTCAATTTTGTTCTTCTTTTTCAAGATTGTTTTGGAGACTTGGGATATTTTAAGATTCCATATAAATTTTAGGGCTTTTTTTTCTACTTCTGCAAAAAAAAAAAAAAAAAAGCATTGGTGTTTAATATGGATTGTGCAGAATCTACATCATTTTGGATAGTATGCATACTTTGACAATATTAAGTCTCCCAATCCATAAGCACAGGATATCTCCATTCATTTGTGTTCTCTCTTTTTTTTTTTTAAAGCAATGCTTTATAGTTTTTTTTTTAAAGATTTTATTTATTTATTTGACAAAGATCACAAGTAGGCAGAGAGAGAGAGCAAGAGAAGTAGGCTCCCAGCTGAGCAGAGAGCCCGAT